TACCTCTTTTGCATAACGTTGTTTGCAAAACATGCATGGCTTTACGTGATTATGAAGCGTGCTTAGTTTACAAGACAGAGCAGACTCAAAAATAAATAAAAAAGGGATACATGGTCGAGTCTGCTCCCACTTCAGAGAACAACACAGAGAACATGGCCTCTACTTTACTGACTCTGTGGCTTATTTTGAGTCATTTTAATCAGATACAGACAGAACACTCCGGGATGTCTCCATAATGAAGGCTGTCCATGTTGTGTACCCGTGCTTGTGAACGTGTATGACCTGTAGCATGCCGAAGCACACCTCTTCCAAGCATGCCAGGATGTGTACCATATGGAGCGCTGACACTGGTCAAACAAACTGGAATTTAGAGGAGCAGCGTGCTAAGGCTCGGTACAGATGCTGGTATCTTCACACTGCATGTAAATTTACCTGAAATGAGCGTGATCTAGAAACACAGTTAAGCAGTGAGTACAGTATGTTATTCTTCTTTTCTCTAGTCCCTCAATTAAACAACTTTTATACACGAGGGGAGGAGTCAGCCGGCCGTCCTGGCGATGTAAACAAACTGAAGATAGGACTCTGAAAACTCTGAAAACATCACAGACAGTGGGACTCGGGTGTTACACCCATTGTAGACAGTCATGACTCACAGAGTTATTTTCAGAGGAGAGACTTGATTTCTACATTTAAGTGTGAAAAATCACATAGAAAGCCTTTAAGAGACTTGGGATGTACCCTCTCAAATCTTCAGGCAGACTGTTTCAGAAACAAGGACCAAAAAGTGGACTGCTCACATGTTTTTTTTAAGACATTGACTTTGAATCAATCAAACAATTTTACTGATGTTAGGACAAACAGAAATCAATAATCATCACATGGAGCTGCTGTGATAGACAGATGAAGAAATATAAAACCTGCAGAGCATTTAGGACTCTCACCGCAAAGAGAACGATGTTAAAAGTAGCTGCGACTTTGTAGGATGTCAAATGAAAACTTTTACTGGACAGAATTAAATGAATCTCGGAGGTCAAACTCGACATACATGACGTTTGGTTTTGAAGAGCCTCTTCACCGTCGTGTATAAACGGAGCTCTTTGTACTTGACTTTGCAATAAGAGGTTGTTAGGGGCGCAGCTTAAAACAAAATTACTCACTTCCCCATCATTTGCATAAACACAACCTTTTGCAGCCACCTTGGAAAAAAAAAAAGTGCGTTTATCTTTCTCCTTTAAACGACCGACCACACGCACGAGCCCGTCCGGCATCCAGTGAGAGATTAAGATAACAGCGTTAAAGCTGCTGGGAGGCGGTTATGAAACACGCTGAAATGTATTCTGACATCTCTTTATGACCTACAAAAGCTGAAGAGACCATCACACACAAGATTGATCTTTTTTTTGTGTCGTTATTTTTAATGCCTGGAACCTGGAGATGTCAGACAAAGCGTTTAGCTGCACGCCGCCAAAACAGCTTCCACTGAAACAATTCTTCATGAGTGATATATTTGACATTTTAAAGAAAGCAGGGTGACTTTTTTGCTTTGTGCAGAAAATGAAAACACGGCCTACACTTGAAAAGGAGATTTAAAAAAAAAGTTTTATAGTGTTCATTATTTGTGTTTCGATCGTGTTTACATTGTTAAAGAAAAGCTGATGAACATGTTTGAGTTGTGTTTTTTATCCGACGGCTCTTACAGTCATAATTGTCTAATCAGTTTCAGGTTTCAAGAGAAGAAAAAAACTCCTCAGAAAATCTAATGAAGTGAGAAGCAGAAACATTTCAAATTAATTTGTTGGGTTTTTTTAAAACATTGAGATATTTTCATCAAACTGAAGTGTTCTTTATTCAAAACAAAAAGTATGACGCACGACGAGAAAGAGTTTGACTTTCAGCTTTTCTGCAAAGTAGATAAAAGTGTGAGGAACATCGAAAACACACACACACACACACACACACACACACACACACACACACACAGTCACACAAACACACACACACACACACACACACACACACACACACACCACACACACACACACACACACAAACAAACAAACACAGACACACACACACACACACACACAAACAAACAAACACAGACACACACACACACACACACACACACACACACACACACACACACACAAACAAACAAACAAACACAGACACAGACACACACACACACACACACACACACAAACAAACAAACACAGACACACACACACACACACACACACACACACACACACACACACACACACACACACACACACACACACACACACACACAAACAAACAAACACAGACACACACACACACACACACACAAACAAACAAACACAGTCACACACACACACACACACACACACACACACACACACACACACACAAACAAACAAACAAACACAGACACAGACACACACACACACACACACACACACACACACACACACACACACACACACACACACACACACACACACACACACACACACACAGATGCACAAACACAACCAGACACACAGATACACACAACAGGGACGCACACACAGACAGACGCACGCACTCACGCACGCACACACACACACACACACACACACAAACCTTAAGAGGAAGCAGAACTGAGTAATAACTTCTGAGTAGATCAGAAGTTACAAGTTCTTCTGATTTCATTCTCAAATTGTCCGTCTGCGCTCGTGTTTGTGTAACATCGCTGCAGAACATGCAAACAAACACGTCACATCTTAATGTCTATAAACGTACACACACATGAATTATGCAAACGTTTCATGGTGTTGTAATATAACGGCATCAATAATTGAAAAGCTTTAGTGGCCTGTATTTATTTATTTGTTTCTCCAGCGCGTGTTCTCTTGAGCCTCCTGCAGCTCCTCGCTGTTTGTGCTTTAGTGCTTTAAATGTCCAATAACATGCAGAACAGAGCTCCGTCTATAAACCTCGCTCTGCATTTACTGCTTTATTGCAAACATCAGAGTGTAGGCGCCGCGCTAAAACAGTCACAGGAAGTTTATTGTTACAAGCGCGCTTTGACGCAGACCAACTCTGGGACCATAACTTAAGAAAATGTTGAACAAGAGAGGTCTCGCTGTTTTCCTGCAAAAAAATGTCAAAAAAAAAAACTCCATTAATTATTCATGTTTGCAAAACTGAAAATGTAATTTATAAGTGTTTTCATTTTTTTTTCCATCGAGCTCCCGCGTGGAGCATTTTGTGCTCCCAAGTCTCCTAAACATCAGAGCGCCGGATCACTCTGCGCTTTTTCTTTTTTTTTTGCCCCACAGATTGAGGCATATTTTTACAAGGCTGGCATTATGGGTCGCCGCTGCAGCAGCAGCTCTCAGCAGGGTGTAATAAAGTTCATTTTGATAACACAGCAGGAGGCGGGGAGGGCTTTAATCTTGGTCCCTGTTCCCCGTCGATGGTGGTGTGTGTGTGTGTGTGGGGGGGGGGGTAAAACAGCTGAACCGCCATAAAATCCAACATGTCCTCCCTCTCTCTCTCTCATGTTCCAGCCTGCTGCACAATCGTCATCAGCTGTTTTGTCTTTGCAACAAATCAATCTTCAATACACATCCATTTGCTCATTAATAAATCATCACTGATAGAGATTAATAACTCATGTTCTCTGAAAAAGGAACAAAGAAAATCCATCATCTGTTTCAGTTTGTAAGCCTTTAAAAACTTAAACCAAGGTCTGCTACGAGGTACCAATCTGATGAACCAATCAGACGCCTCCCTGTCTCCCTGCTCGCTCTCTACCTCTTGCGTGCTCTAGCTCACACTCAAAGAGCGTCACCGATGACTTTAGGAGTTTAAACTGAGAGTTTACTGACCGCTGAATGAGACATGAGACGACGTAGTTTCTACACAATGACAGAGATGAGCTGAGGTCCACTTCTGGATGTAAGTGAGGGGGCGTGGCTTTAGAGGGAGCACAGAGGGGGAGGGGCTGGGTGCGGACGGAGCACTGAGGGAATGCTACTTTCAAAATCATGCTAGTTTTCAAAATTACCAATCCTGACTTTAAACGCCTCACAACCTCCCGACAGGAAGTCTCGCATATTTGATTTTAATTCTACCTTTCTACGATGTTTTCTGTCTGACGATAAGCGATCTGCACGCTCAAACGTCTCGAGCATAAAAACAAAAAATGTAAAAATGGCAGACAGGAAAAGTTTTTCAAGTCGTGGCTCGAATTTACAACTCTGTGATCGCTTAATCTGACACAGTGAACGTCGTAACAGACAGACAAAAAAGTGTAGTCTGCCTTCAGGGTAAGAGACCACATTGCATATGTACGGAGGTTGTGGTCCTCCAAGATGGCTGCCTGGGTCCAGATCCGACCTGTAACTCCTTTCTTGCACGCCATTCCCACCATCTCTCTCTCGCTCGTCCTCTCTCGAAGAATTAAACCTTTAAATCTTCCTTTCTTTGTCTCTTAATGATGCACATCAGTTTCTTTTACTCGTTGTTTTAATTTCACGACATGAACGACTTGTCTGATTTACTGCACGGGCTCGTTGTTGCCACAGCAACGCCATCTGCTCCCCTTTGGAAGTTACAAAAGGGAGAAGGACAGATGTAAATATTAAGACAGTAAACTCTGTTAATAAATCAATAACATAATTCGATGTCTGTGTTTCTTCTTATTGTCACAGCACTTTTCTCTCTTTGTTTTTTCTGATCCGCTGTGACATCAAATGGAAGCACATTATTGCTCCCCAGCCTTTTGTTATTTCCCATTCGTCACTTTTAATTGAGCCATTGGTATGCTAAGTGGAATGAAAGTCCTGTTTCCATGGCGATGATATTATAGCAGTAGGCGCGACTGTCATGATATCCTCGTTAGGTTTTTTATCATCGCCGTTGACGGTGGCATTTTTCGGTTCAAAGTGTCACTCCGCGTTGCTTTAAAGATGTCTAATTGTTGGGCGGTAATTTAACTTGATCTCTCTCTTTGTTTTTGTTTTTTTCAGCAAACCCGCTGCTCATTAATTCCTCCATGCAACCTGACCTGACCGTGTCGCGCACCTACACCAGCCCCATGTGTTTCCAGGACTCCATCGACAAGGAGCTGATGGCCGAGCGCTCGCTCCTTGACCCGCTGCCTGATCTCAAAGGTCAGACAAAGATTTTGAAAAGCTGAGGAAGTTTACTACTTTTTTGAAAGGCGAGGAATCGCTGAGCTGCTCCTGCTGCTGCTGTGAGAAGGATAATCCATCTTGTTTTGAAACTCTTTCTCCCATGAGGCAATCTATAAGAAAGCTGTCATACACAGAAAAAAATGGTCATCACCTTCAAGGGCATCACAGGTTTGACCGTTCAATAAGCCGCGTCCCCCTTTAGTTACTCTTGCTACACCTGTCGAGCTCTCTGTTTTTTGCACGGCACACATGAAGTCTGCAGTCAAATCAACAACAGATTTACAGCGACTTCTTCACGGTTTAATGTTAAACGATGGGTCATTGATTAAAGACTGAAACAGCCTTTTCATTTCACACTATCAAATATAAATATATCTGTCTTAAAGGTCCAATCAGTAAGGTATCTACTGAGTGAAATGATAAAGGTATCTTACTCTCTGATCAGACATTAAGGAAACATGCTATGTTGAAGTGCTGGCTTCTCTGACAATAATGCAGCAGCCAGTATGTCCTCCTTCTAACTTTAGATTCTGTTCCTGAATGCTCTGGATTTGTTTGGACCAGAGAAGGTAGGCGCTTTTAAGAAACCCCCACACAGCCGTTTTGGACGCCCCTCGGTTTGCCAGATATGAGAGCAGTTATCAGGTCAACAGGTGTTGCAGTGATGGAAGCGGTCAAGAGAAGTGGTTCAGATAGAAGTGATTGTACCCGACCTAAAAAGCCTCTGCATGTTTCTAATAAGCTCCACGAGCAGAAACGTGCTCAAACTAGGATCAATATTGGAGATGCTTTTGAAAAATGGAGAGAGGTTAGAACACAGAAAGGTTTACAGACCCATGCAGAGCTGGATAAACACTGAAGCTTCAGAGTCCACCACATGGTGACCTGAGTGAGCATCCACTCTAGAGAGGAGGGGGGGGGGAGACAGCTCTCTACAATGTTTTGAATTTAGACTGCAGTACCCATTTTAAACACTAGGGGTCAGAGTTACATACTGCTCCTTTAAATAAAAAAAGTAGCCTTCAAAACTGATCAGCGAAAGCGGGAAAGGTTAAAGTAGCTAGCGTGAGAACTACAGTACGATGTAGATGAAAACTTAATACTGGAGATGATATTTTGCCTAAAGCTCCTATGTGGAGTTTTTAACTGGTAATGAAAACAGGCTGAACTAAATCCTGATGCCTCTTTGTGTCATTGTGAGTTTTTTCAGCGATGGAAAAATAACAGTTTCTTTTTTTTCTTTTGCCCTTGTCCGTGATCTGACCGTGTTTCACTTCAGCTCTGTTTTTTTTTCCCGGTTGTATCTCTAGGGGTGTCAGAGAGAGCAGAGTACCATGTCATGTCCCACCCTCAGACATTTCCGAGGGGCCTGGCTCCGGACTACAAAGGGGTCGCGGTGGGGACCACGCTGGGCCGGAGAGGAAAAAACCTCTTCACTCCACAAGTCTCCTTGACTCACAGCAGACCTCTGCACAAAGCGACCGCCGCGTTCGGTCACGCTGGAGGGAGGCTTGTTGTACCCAACACAGGTGAGTCCACTGTGGGGAAAAATTCATTTGATACATTCCCCCACCCCCGTGTGTGTGTGTGTGTGTGTGTGTGTGTGTGTGTGTGTGTGTGTGTGTGTGTGTGTGTGTGTGTGTGTGTGTGTGTGTGTGTGTGCAAACTGAAATCCTTCAGCATAAGGCAACAAATCGCAGAGAAGCTGTTACTTTAACATTCAGCAGAAAGCTTCATGAGTCACAAGCTTTGTTCACACCTGCACAAAACTCCTGAAAATCTTTTCAGGGTGAGCTGCATGTGTGAACGCAAACAGCAGAATTTTTCACTCAGACTTCATCCAGAGTTTCCCCTTTAGTATTTTTTGTCCACATCAAGTCCGAGCTGATATGCGACGCAGCAGGATATAATCAGGAGAATTGACCTCGAGTGAGTGGGAGGGGGTGGTGACATTTATTATCTCCAAACGGTGTAAGGCCGTAGCCTGCATGCACGTGTCCCCTACGATCTATATGCAGGTCACCTCGCTGAAGGTCTGGGGGGAGCTCCATCTACTCGATGGTCCGGCCTCTGCTGCCAGGACAAGGCCTCCTTGGTTTGTAACACACTGGCACAGAAAGGGGGGGTCCATAGCACCAGACCGTCCTGTTGGTTTTTTTAGACTTTCAAAGCAGCAGCTGTGGCTCAGTTGGTAGAGTTGTTACCTCTCAACCAGAAGGTCAAGGGTTCAATCCCAAGCTGAGCAACAAGTCCTTGAGCAAGACACTTAAGCCCACATTGCTCCCACTGCTTCAGTGGTGGTGTATGAACGGATTAGTGTTGTACGTCACTTTGGATGAAAGTGTCTGCTAAGTGAATTGTAGAAAGCAAATCTTCACATGATAACATTGTATGGCCAACTCTTTTGCTACTCCTGCGTCATCCTTTTTACGTCATGTCTTGCCTCAGTAGACCCCCTCGGCCCCCCCCTTACTGGTCAGACTGGGATGGTGGGGTTCAAGTGTGAACAACCAGATCAATTTGAAATGTGCAGGAGTGCAGATGTGTAAAAAACGGCTCCACGGTGCTGCATTTTAAAGATGTTTGTCTGCAGGGAAGAATGTGTAAAATGTAAAAAATGTATTTATTATTTCATGTCAGAGCATGAATAATGCACTCGTTACATTTATCGCCACCTGTCACTTAGTCACATTATGACGTTTTATGTTAGCTTAATGTCTAATTACGTGTATTGTTATACGCACCGAAGACTAATTTCCATTTTATGTAAATGTAATGGACAATTACGTCCTCTGAATGTGGGGGCTTTGACAGCGATGGCATTATTAACTGAACGCTGCGTTCGAGATCAAGCAAATTAACATTTCTCAAGGTGTGGACAGCTTTATTTACGGACGATTGTAAATGCAGCGTTTCAGATACATTTCTTTAAAAACAGCATTATGGATTCTAGTTTTTTTTTTTAACATTTTCAAACATGCACTTGTCCACCTCGAGGACATTTGTTTGATGCAAAACCTGTGATGCGCCGTCTGCTTCACCGTTCACGCGGCAGCTCGTTCCCCTGGCCTACATTCATCATCCTGTTCCCCGGAGGCGCTTTATCTACTGCGCTGTAGATTGGCAGTAATTGTTTATCATACGGTACAATATTGTGTGTGTGCGCTTGTGTGTGTGTCTCTCCAAGAAAGCGTCAGTCGGAGAGTGTGTGTCGCTCGACAGTAAGACTGCTGGCAGCATTGATTCACAAGGCCTCCGGGACTTACTTCCGTCACCTTTTTTTCTGGGGCCGTCACCTCTCCGGCTGTCACCTTCCAGTAAGGAGAACTGACAGCCCGGCAGGTGTGTGTATGTGTGTGTGTGTATAAGTGTGTGACCATGTGTGTTGATTGGCTCTTGCATGCCTTCCTCCTCTGCAGGTATCAGTGTGCTGGTGCCTCACGGGGGGATCGCAGAAGACACTACCTGGGAAATGTACATGATCATCAACCAGGAGGACAGCAGGTGAGGGACTCTGCAGTCTGCTCGCTTTTTAATCTTTCAGCCCGTCGCGCAACATCCCTCTCATCCCTCCCTCCCCCTCCCTCCCCCTCCCTCTCCTGCTCATCTCTCTCTCTCTCTCTCTCTCTCTCTCTCTCTCTCTCTTTTGGCACAAACATGCACAGGTTCACACTCTGATCCACTCATGCAGCAGTCACATGTGCTCTGCGTTTACACACGCCCAGATGCAAGGCATATTCTCACCCAGCGAGGGGTCCCTTGCTCATCTCGCAGACTCTGCAGGGGACGACATGATGTGTCACAAATACATTGGCAGCTGCAGACAGACTGCATTACCCGCCTTAAGCAACTGTCTCCGCAGAGAAAGAGATACTCTCCATGACTGTTGGTAGCCCGTTTTGTGTTTGCAAGACACGGCCGTGACAGTATCTCGTTTCCACTCTGACTGGTGAGGATTGTGAACTTTGATGTGAAGTCATGATTCTAGGTGGTATTGATTTGTTCTGTATTTTTCAGAATCGTCAGAATGTTACACGCTGCAAAGTTTCACGTCCAAGCGGGAGTTCATTCCTGCAACCTTTCCTGTCGAGATATTTCACAAAAGCTAATACTTCAGGAGGAAACGCTAAGATAGATAAGAAGCATTTCAAGAAAGAGTCTTAATACTTTTTGACTTATACCCAGCAGAGCCTCAGAAAGCTATCTGACAGCCACAAGTCACTTTTTTCTTGTCCTTGATTTCCAGCAGACAGTATCAACGTTTCGGCAGGTCTAGAGTGAAACCCTGCTGGGTGAGATATCACCTTAACAACAGCGCTAAGCCGCCCCGAGAAATTCCATTTTTATACATCTGAGGGAGAATCCAAAGTGCCATTCAGAGCCGTCTGGAATTAAAACCGTGCAGCTCGGTTGAAGCCTCTAATTAAAACAGGAAATCATAAAAAATGCAAACATGATGATTAAGTCTGAGAGTCTCGTTAAGTGGCCTGAAAATCAGAGTGAAAACAAACGTCCATAACTGTAGAAAAGACGGGGCGATGTAAAAATCGCAGCTCATTTTGATGTCTATCTGCTGTTATTGCACACAGTAATGGAACATGTGACAATCTGTGTGAGTGCAGTTTGAGTCAGAATCAGAGGAAAGAAGAAGCAAAAACAAACTTTAGTTCCAACCGATCATTCAGTACGTTTAGTGTGACCGCCCTGTGGCCTGTCAGGTTGTGTCTTCTCTTCTCTTGTGTTGCAGGTTCTGGTAATTGGTAGGCGTGTCTGTCCAATCAGTCTGACTGTGAGCACCTGGGCCCGGTGCTCACCGTCATTATAAAAGCTGCCACCTCAGTCTGCTGGGGGCGACTTTCGGCATGCGCTTTGTTTCATCATCAACCTTTATTTAAGTTCTCGGAGAGATCTTTGAGGGCGACCCTCGTTTACAATGATGCTGAGAAAACATACATAAATGATAAACAACGAGAAATTAGATAAAGCTACTACAGAAAATAAAATCAATAAAAGAGCAATAAGAACAATAAAATATATACACTCAGATGATTTAAAAGCTTGAAATGACTACAGTGACAAGTCAGTAATTAAAATAAAACAGTTAGAGTCAGGTATTGGGCGGTTAAAAATAATATTTCTAAAAGTGTCCATAAGGGATAAAAGTGCTCAAATTCAGGTCAGGTTTGGTTGCGTTAATCCTTCTCCATCCAACACATGCACGATACACCTGAGCCGCTCATGACATAAGAAAAAACTGTTTATTTATTGTGTCAGTCCGACTGAAACTGGACTTTTAAAAAGCATGTAAACATGATGAGTCCACTTTCTTGAAGTAAGACAAACACATCTAGAGGTGGCCTCAATCAGAACCTCAGACTGGACTTGGCGTTCTGTGGGTGCTCCAGGTTCCAATGCGGGGGGCTTTGACCCGGAATAAGAACAGCATTTTATGTCATTGTTAGGTGGGGGTTGTTTCTGTTTGTATAAATCCAATGAAGAAATCGTGAAACAGACTGGAGATTATAACACCGTTTAATCGGCCGAGGTCAGACAACTTCATCAAACAAGCATGCTTCCAAATCACTTGACTGACAAAGTGCTGACCAAGTAACAGTGTTCACAGTGCTGCTTATATTCTGTCAAAAAGGTGCAACCCACATATTCCTTTCCATTTGGGTACATCACCATAAAACAATAAAGATGACATGACACTGATTTGTATACGTAACAACTGTAGACTCTCTGTCTAGCAAACAGTTGCTGACAACATATGCTTGGCTCCTATCCAAACATAGATCTGCTACTACTTAGGTGCTTCACTCATATAAGTTTACAGCTTCAGACACCTAAAGGTAGGAGTGTTAACAGGTGGTAGGCAGACTTGATTAATACATTTCACGAAGTTACAAGATTAATGAATTTCATGAAAATTCGTACTAACAGTCATATAATAGAACTTGGGAGGTTGTCAGCCGTTGGAAAAGACAACAAGCTAGAGCAGGGCTGGTTAACTTTGGTCACAGCAAGGGCCACATTCATTTAATTCTCACTGCCAGGGGGCCAAATTGTAGAATACAAAAACGATTACAGTCAATTATGTCTCAAATTTATCTCAACATATACCAGTGATCAAATATTATTATGGACATATTTCTGGTTTTCAGGATTTCATGGCAGATTCTGTCATGTTTTTCTTCATGTTTCCAATTAGTTTATATGTAAAAATTAACCTGAGGGCCACATTGAGGGTTGATGGGGGCCGCATGTGGCCCCCGGGCCGCCAGTTGCCCACCCCTGAGCCAGAGGGATAGCGTGTATCACAGTTTTCGCTTGCTGACTTATTAGCAAGGTCAATGCAAGAAGGTCCGAGAGTAACTAGTTTAAAGGCTTTATATGTGATTTTTTTGATCCAGCAGATGTCGCCCTTGAGCACCAGCATGAAACCAAAACAACTCGCGCTGCATTGTTGTGTTAGCATGCTAATGCTAGCGATCTTTATTATGCTGGTATCTTCACACTGCATGTAAATTTACCTGAAATGAGCGTGATCTAGAAACACAGTTAAGCAGTGAGTACAGTATGTTATTCTTCTTTTCTCTAGTCCCTCAATTAAACAACTTTTATACACGAGGGGAGGAGTCAGCCGGCCGTCCAGGCGATGTAAACAAACTGAAGATAGGACTCTGAAAACTCTAAAAACATCACAGACAGTGGGACTCGGGTGTTACACCCATTGTAGACAGTCATGACTCACAGAGTTATTTTCAGAGGAGAGACTTGATTTCTACATTTAAGTGTGAAAAATCGCACTAGCGTTTAGTGGAGTCTCTAGATTCTCCAACAGTTTTTTTATACCGAGAGGAGGACAGTAATCTAATTAGCTCGACTTAACTGTGCATGAAAACATTGAATGTAGCTCTTTATGACTGAAGACCAAGCGTCCTTCTTGTTAGAAAGTTGCCTTCAAAAACACTGAAATCTCCTGCTGCTCTATTGAATTGAATTTTTTTATTTAATAGGGACAATGCAATTTAACATAATTTCAATACAAAGCATGAAATGGATGTGCTGCATAAAGAGTATATAGCTATTGCTAATTTCCAACTCGTGTCCCCAGTTGGGCCTTTGTTATCATTGCAACATCTGTGAAAAAGTTTTGTCAATTACACCCAAAACAATTGTTACTATTGATCTTTACAGCACTTTTTTCTTCTTCTTCATTCTGTCAGTTTTCATGTTTTTCTTGCTCATTGTGAAGCATTCAGAGCAGCTTTTTGGTCTGAGAGGTGCACTACATATTCGTTTTTTTTATTGTAAATATCATAACCTGTCACTTGACCTCACCCTCCACCGCACCATGTGGCGTCTACAGGCTCATTTATTGAAGATACAGATCAAAGGTCAGTTAAAGGCTGGTGTGCAGAGCTCGGTTAGTGGCAGGAGTAATACACTCCCTCGCCTAAAGCCTCTCCCAATCCAAAGCCAAGCTGCTGCCCTCCAGGCTCCTGCTTTGCTCTGATAAGCCCGATGCTGTTTACTTCTCTGGCTGTCGTTTAAGAAAGCTGCAGGAGCCGTGCACCACTGAGCTGTCAGTCAAAAGCCCTATCTTCTGACAGCCGCAGAGTCCGCAGGAGAAATTGGATCCTTTTTCCTCTCCGTTCAAAAACCCGGAGGCCATCTACATAAGACAACGCTTTCTTCAAGAACCAATCGATCGGCGCGGGCTCAGTTTCAGGTGCTCACGGGAGGTTTTTTCCGCTCATCCTGTGGGCTGTAGCAGTTCGTTTGGTGCGTGTTCTTCATCCCAACAGGGGGATGGTTGGTAGTCCAAGGACGGAATCACACCATGTGACCACCAAGCGCCTGATATGATGCGACTTACACACGTTTAAGTGAATGAGTCGAGAGCTTTGAGCAGACCTTTTACTATGACGCCTCGGTGTCACTCGTACCCGCCTCACTGTCAACTTCCTTTTTGTAGTTTTTTGGTTGGTGGTTGATTTTTTAAAGTCATGTCTTGTGTGCTCTCCTGTCAGACCAGACCAAAAGTTTAGCCTCTTGAACCTCGTAAAATCTTCTTAAAATGACCCGTAATTCTTCTTCTTTCACTGATTTTAGATTCCAATACAACAAACTGTAAACCTAAAAGAAAGAACCATTAGCTCCTCAAACATTTGTTGTAGCAAACATGAAAGTAAGCAGAAGGTTTTTTTATACACAACTAGCAAACCCAAAAAGAACATTTAATCAAATTTTTATCAGAGTGGTATCCATGGCAACAGGCTCTGTCTTCATCTCGGCCATTCCAACAACAAAAAAGTTGCTTATAGGTGTTTGAAGATTGCTTAATGGCTCCTGGGCATAAATGGTATATTTCTTTTCTAGTCTTCTGACGACTCGAAGCGCTTTTTACACCGCAGGTCACACCTACACATTCACACACTGATGGTAGAGGCTGCCATCGAAGCAGCAGGAGCAACTTGGGGTTCAGTGTCTTGCCTAAG